ATATGTGCAAGAGGCATCTGATCGATGTTTCTCTCTCATCGATGTTTCTAACTATCTCTCTCCCTTCCTCTCTGTAAAAAATCAATAAAATATATTAAAAAATAAAAAATAAATCCTCAGTGTAGGATATATTTTTTATTGATTTTTAGAAAAATAGAAATATCTATGTGATAGAGAAACATTAATTGGTTGCCTCTCATATAAGCCCTGAATGGAGATCAAATGCATAACCTAGGTATGTGCCTGGACTGGTAACCAAACCTGCAACCTTTTGGTGGGATGATGCTTCAACCAACTGGACCACCTGACCAGGGCGTTTCCTTATTTTTAAAGTGGAGATTATATCATTTTCTACCTCCGCAAGGTAATGGTGAGAAGTGCATGAATTAATGGGCAGGAATGGACAGGACATGGTACCTGCCTTGCCCATAGGAGCATACACTAAATATTATCACTTTAATCCCATGCCTCCACTTTCCTTTTCCTTACCAGGCAAGGCCTTGGCCCACTTGACCACATGTACAAGCTGTCTTTCACCCAATTCATTGAGGCTAGAGAGCAAGGTTGCAAAGGAGTCAGGCTGATTGTTGTCATGTCCAGCACACACCACGCCAGGTTCAATGGCTTCCAGGACATTCAGAAAGATAGGCTGACACTCATAGCCTTCAATGTGTGACACCGCCAGCTTCTGGGTTGGCTCCTCAGTTGGGCTGGTGGCACTGGAAGCCTCCCCTTCCTCCTGCAGTTTCAGATTACCAAGTTTCTTCAGTTTCCGAGCTATTGGGAGGAAAGGGAAACTTGGATTTATTATAAGTGATCAAAAACACACAGCACAGCTACTCTGTTAGAAAACCTTCAAGCTAAGAAAATAAGGATGTCCATTCTTCATGGTCAGAGATTCTAAACTCCTTGAAGGCAAATGCTCAGTTTAGCACTGGTTGAATGAATGACTCATCACTCCAAATCTTTACTAAACTAAAGTTTTATATCTTGTTTTCTCCCCAGTCACCTTGTAGGACAGGCCTAGTATATCCTTAGATTGGACTCTGCATAAATGTAAGCTTCAGTACTCATACCTAGAACCTTTCATTGAATTATTCAGATATATTCACAATTCATTCATTCATTCATTCATTCATTCAATAGAGATTCCATGTTAAACCTTTTCTTTTTTAAAAATATATTTTTTATTGATTTCAGAGAGGAAGGGAGAGGGGAAAAAAGATAGAAACATTAATGATGAAAGATAATCATTGATTGGCTGCCTCCTACCACCCCCCTACTAGGGATTGAGCCCACAAACTGGGCTTGTGCCCTTGACTGGAATCGAACCCAGGACCCTTCAGTTCGCAGGACAACACTCTATCCACTGAGCCAAACCAGCTAGTGCAAGCCCTTTCTTCTGGGTCTTAACCCTGTCTAGTAGAGGATGAATTAATACCCCTATGCAGTTAAAATGTCAACCTGATAAATGTTACAACAGAGGTATTAATAAAAAGTCAACAATCACTCTGCATAGGTGGGGTCAGGAAAGGCTTTATGGTAGCATTTGACCTGGATCTTGAAGAATGGTGAGGGTTTCACTAAGCAGAGAAGAGTGAAAATGGCATAAACAAATAGTAGAAGTGTTTGGGGGAAATAGTAGAGACCAGTGTGGCTGGAATGTATATTGCTTGTGTGGGGAGACTGGCTATTTATAAGGTTGAAATCAAGATTAGACCTGATTTTGAAAGGGCTTGTATATTGTAATTAGAAGTTTGGGCTTTTTCTTACAAGTAATGGGCAAATACAGAATTTTTGGAATAAAAGGAATGATGAATTTGTGTCTATGTCTAGCATGTCTAGCAGATTGTTAAAGAGACTAGAATGGCAAACATAAGTATTAATTATGGGGTCTCTAGAGGTACCAAAATATACAGTGACTTGGATACTACTCTCTCTCTCTCTCTCTCTCTCTCTCTCTCCCTCCCCCACACACACACACACACACACACACACACACACACACACACACACATCACAAACACACTTTGATAGTTAAAGGCCTCTGAACATGGAAAGGTTGCCAGGCACTCATGTTATTAGAGATTATCAAGCAGAGACTAGAAACACAATGGTTAAAAATTCAAGCATGTCAACTGGGTACTGGAAGTCCTACTCACAACGATCAGACAAGAAGAAGAAATACAAGATACCCAAAATGGAAGGAAGAAGTAAAACTGTCATTATTTGCAGATGGCATGATATTATACATAGAAAACCTTAAAGACTCCAAGAAGCAACTATATCTAATAAATGAATTCAGCAATGTAGCAAGATACAAAATTAACATTTAGAAATCAGTGGTATTTCTATACAACAATAATAAACTGTTAAAAGAAGAAACTAAGAAAATAATCTCAT